AGGCAGCATGTTTTTAGGGTTCCAGAATCAATAGCAGTGGTTCTTCAATAATGCAGCAGTAGGTGCAAGTTCCAGGTGTCCACCCCGGGGGCATTAGCAACCCCTGAGCTTGGGTATCCATCCGGCTTTCTTTTTGCTCTTCACCCCCTTCTTTCTTCTTTCAACCCTTCCAACCCCTTTGCAACCAACCTCCTGTGTATTAATTCCTCTGTCCAAAATACCTAGAATCATTTCTTTTTTCTTTTTTTTTTTTAAGATTTTATTTATTCATTTGAGACACACAGAGAGAGAGAGCATGAGCAGGGAGAAAGGCAGAGGGAGAGGGAGAAGCAGGCTCCCCGCTGAGCCAGGAGCCCGATGCAGGGCTCGTTCTCAGGACCCTGGGATCATGACCTGAGCCGAAGGCAGACGCTTAACCATCTGAGCCACCCAGGTGCCCCTCTTTTTTTCTTTTCTGACTGGTGCCTGGTTGATACAGACCCCTGCTTGTAGGGTGGTGATCCGTCACTCTAAGAGAGGGTAAAGAAATACCGGTTGTTATGAAAAAGGTCAATGATTATGTCATCCAGCTATCCATAGCTCCAGATGGTCCAATATTGGGCAGTGATGGTCCTGGGTGTATTTTTCCAGTGAAGGTTTTTATCCTGTTTGAAAGGAATTGATAGAGTAGCACAGTTGAACTGCTGAAATTGGTTTTATGCATGGATGGATTTCAGATGCAGGGCTGTTGATCCAGCATCTTTTACAACTACCAAATTCACAGAGGAAGAAAAAGAAAAGAAAAAAAATCCCCAAAGCTCTGCAATTCCCTGGCGCACAATCCTCTTCCATCGTGGCTTCAGAGTACGCATCAAATATAATAAAACCAGTGAGTCAGCGTTAATGGTGTGGCTAAAAAGGGAGTGATCCCTCCATTCCTCCTAAACACCCTTGGCAGAGACTTTTTCCTGCCACGGGGCATTGGTGATTGTTCTAACAATGCCTGGAAGGGAGCCCTTTCCCGGTAAGATGGTAGGATTCTCTTTTGGGGTTTTCTTGAGCAATTTTAGCCATGTCTTGTACACATACACAAATGCCACTGACCACAGCACTTAAGTATGGTGAGGTCTCATAATTCCAAAATTACATAGCTGTCCAGGTTGACTTTTGTCTGCGTAATAGGGTAGGCCCATCTGCCCCAACAGTGTGAAGGCAAATGAAATGGGAAAGGCATCTTTCAAGGCTTCTCTCACATCAGGATAAGCAAAGGTGTGAGGAGGAAGTGTAAAAAATAAAAAAAATGAAAAAAATAAAAATCATTTAGCTCTCTGCTCTCCTTCATCTGGATGAACTTTAATGTCTACCTAGAGTTGAATATTAAATAGGTTGGTTCTATTTGAATTGTTTCGTTAATTTCTTGGTCCCAGTGTGCCCTGTCTGATTACACAACAGAAACAGTTGGGACACTGTGTCTGAAAACATGTAAGATTTTACTGCCCATCCTGGGCCTAGTTCCCCTGCAGCTTCTAGACTAAAAGTGATAGAGCACACTGTTTATCAAGTGAAATCAGAGGGTTCCTGCCATATCTACAGGAGCCAGGAAAGACCTCCTGGGGTGATTCCTCTTTAAGCCTTCATAATTGAAAGAAGATCTCATTTAAGTGAGTAGCCAACAAACCAGAATCACAACGTTTATTTATTTTTAAAAGATTTTATTTATTTATTTATTTGAGAGAGAGCGCTAGAGAGCACAAGGAGGGGGAGAGGGAGAGGGAGAAGCAGGCTTCCTGCCAAGCAGGGAGCCTGATGCGGGGCTCGATCCCGGGACCCTGGGATGGTGACCTGAGCCGAAGACAGATGCTTAACCGATTGAGCCACCCAGGCACCCCAGAATCACAACATTTGTAAACATTCATATATGCTGCAATTTGGTTGCTAATGCATAGGGGGGACTGGAGTTGAAGCGAACTACAGATCATTTGCTTGATTTCTTAGAAGTCGATTGCTGTAGGCATGGCCCCACCAACAACTCTGCACCATCCAAGCAATAAAGGGAAAAGATTAGCTGCTGTTTTGGACTCTGCTTTTAGCTCAGGTGTCACCTCCAGGAAGCCTTCTCTGCCCCTGAGAATCTCACTGATGGCCCCATCCTATCTTCTGTCCTAGTACCTTGAACTCGTGGCACTGTCTTGGGTTTTAATTCCTTACCCACCTCTCCCGCTAGTGTGTGAGTGTCCTGAGGTTAGATGCCGGCTGCCTCTGCCCCTCATAGGCACTCAGAAAATGTGGAAAGAACATAGCAGTTTTGTTGCGGACAGAATACAGATTGATGATGTTACAGGCAGAACTTCTTGCCGAAGCATTTCCCTTATTTCCACTGGCTCTGAACTAAAGGCCTGGAGAAGGCAAAAAGAAACTGCATGGTAGAGAAGGAACAAAAGGGAATCATCATGGAAAAGATAAGAAAAGAGGACTCAGGGGGCTTGGTATGACTGCTTTACTAAACAGATACCATAGATGTGATTGGAAAATCCAGGATCGTGTGCTCTGCAAAGTTAGGATGAATGAGCAACCAATTATGACCTATGCTTTAGAGGCCCATATTCCATGTCATTCCAGTTCTTAGGACAATGAACTGAAATCCAGATTTTCCTGAGCTAAAACATGAAGGGTTTGTGATGAGTTTAACTATAGGGCCAGATTTTTTCCAAAACCTGCCCTTCTGCTGACAGATGGAGAAGCAACACGTTATCAGAAAGGCCCCAAAAGGAAGGCAGTTGTTTTTTCTGCTTGCTTTCTGGCTTCTGCTGTAGGTTTTGCCACTAACCAGTGTCCAGGGGGAGTTCCTGCCATCTTCCTGAGAAAGCCCATTGAGTCTGCAATTGAAACTTGGCCTTCCAGGCTTTCCTTTCTCCTCTGACATACGCCTCTGCTTACAGAATGTTTGTGAATGCTTTCATCTCTGTCTCTTACTGAGAGGGAAAAAGATGGAGAAAGCGGAGAGGAACATATCTTTTTGATATTCATCCATTCAACAAAATTTTGTCCATTGCTGAAGGCTCAAGCAGAGAGGTAGTGTGGTGGAATTGATGTAGGAGCTCTGGAATCAAACAGACCTGGATGTGAATTCTGGTTCTGTCATTTACTAGCTGCCTAAATTACTATTTGCATCTGCTAAACTAATCTCTCAGGGCTTCCGTTTCTTCCTCTGTAAAATAGGAATAGTAGCTACCCGTGCTACTTGGTCTTTTGGCCAATCTTGGGGGCATGGCTCCGTGGTTTTCTCCATCCTCTGTCAAATGGCAGAGATTTCTCCATTTGCAAGAGGCAGTTTGCTTGTCTGTCACTAAGAACAATGTGTAATAAGGTCTAGGATTTTCCATTCCCAAAAGATATTTTAGTCAAGATGTATCAATCAGTGTCTCAAAGGTTGTGTCTCATAATGGTCTGTCTTTATTGCTTACATCTGGTCGTGAAATCTTGTTGCCAGGTTGCTACCAGGAAATGTCTTTGTCATAGAGCACAGGAAATCTGGTTCTCTGGCCCCAAAGCAGAGAGAAAAGTTGTCATTTGATGTCATGGCTGTCATGCCTAAGTTATGTTCATGGTTCTGGGTAGTGGATGAACCTTTTTGTCTGTTCCCCCTGAATCAAGGGAGGACCACGGGAGGAAGGAATCATGTATGTCTTCCTGGACCTTTAAAACAGCTCAACAGTCATGGAGAGTGATATCACCATGGAAAAGCTAAGAAACCCATGCATGTCATAGTTGATTATTAATTACTGCTATCGAGAGAAAAGAAAGGAATTTTGCTGGGGGGAAAAACTATTCTGATTGAGGTTTGCCTCTTAAGAGTTTTGAATTTTTGGATAACTGGTTTCTAAAAACCTATTTATTACTTCCGGAGCTTGGCGGGAAGAAGGGTGTCTCCTTGATCTTCGGCCCCCCTAGTTCCCTGTAAATATTAACTTGCAGGGTTGTTGTGAGGATTATTGTAATGGTTAAAATAACACATCTTTGGTGTGTATCCAAAAGATGATATGCCCAATGGTAGTTACTATTAACACAAGTTGTAGTACATAAACACTAAGCAAAAGAGAGGCGGATCACTCAGGCTTTCTATAGATGATTACCTATTTGGTTAACTTCAAACCTTTTGACATGGTGAAAGATTAGGACATGGGGCCCAGGAGAAAGGGGCAGGACACGCGATGAAGTGGTAAAATCAAAGGCTTTGGCACCCAAACGAGCTGCCCTTAAACCTTGTATTTCTTCTTCCTATGCTTAAGCTAGTCCTTCCTCCTGAGTCCCGGTATATTGGAGATAGCGATGCCTATCACTGGGGATGCCACGAAGGTCAGAGACAGTCGGTGAGGTGCCTGGAACTGCTGGACCTCGGAAGCTATTGTTGGATTAGAGTGGGACCTGCTCCTGGGACCTGCCCCTGGGACCTGTCGCCAGGAATGCTGCCCAGGCCGGACGACCGGGGAACGGGACCTGCAGCTGGGGCCAGGGGCTCCAGTTGAGGCAGCCCGGGGTGGTCGGGTCGCGCGCCCAGGCGGAGGCCGAGAGCTCCCTCGGGCCTTCCGTTGGCAGTCTGAGCTGCCTCTGCACTCGCCGAGGAGGATTAAAGCCAGATGTGGGGGGGGGGGGGAAGAGGGGCGGTGCGGAGACGCCGAGCTCTCGGAGCCTGGGACCGGAGACCAAGACGCAGCTCCAGACCTCGCCGTGACATTAAATGCAGCGGGGGGAGGAAAGGGATCGCAGGAGAGTTATATAGGCTGCGAGACGGCGCCCCTAAATGACAGCCCGGCAGGCCACTGAGGCGAGCGGCTGTGCCGCGCGGGGGCGCCCAGTGGAGGGCGCGCAGCACCGGCGGCCAATGGCTGGCGGGGTCGCGGGCGGGGCCGACGGGCGGGGCGGCCGCGGCGCTCCAGCGGCGGGGGCGGAGTCGCGCTGGGGAGGCGGGGCACTCGGCAGCAGCAGCGGCTGCAGCGGCGGCCACAGCAGCCTCGGCGGCGGCCGCGGCAGCACTGGCAACGCCAGCGGCGGGTGAGGGGCTCACGGCTCGCGGCGGCGGCGGCGGCGGCGGCGGCGTCGCGCGGGCGGCCTCGAGGTGGGGGCGCAGAGCGGCTGCGCGGAGGGGCGCGGGATGGAGGGGCGGTGCCGGCTGCTGGGCTCCGAGCCGCCGGGGTCGCGAAAGATCCACCTGCTGGTAACGGAGCCGCCCGCGCCGCGGCCCGCCCGGGAGCTCGCGCCTCCGGCTGCTGCGGGGCCGGATCGGGGCGCTGGCTGGGCCTCGGGGCGGGGCGCGGGCCGGGGCGCCCTGGCCGCGGGGTCAGTCCCGCGCCACCGCCGCCGCCGCTACAGCCCCTCGGTGCCGCGCGCTCTTGCGGTGGCCGGCAGGGCGCCTGGTGCGTTTCCCGGCGCTCCCCGGCGCAGCGGGGCTCGTCGACTTTGGGGCAAAGTGGAGGAAAGTGCGGGCTTAGGGGGTACTGGGGGGGGGAGGGAGAGTTGCCCGCGGGACCCGGCCGCCAGGGCCCACACCCGCCCCGGGGTTGGAGCCTTTACAGGGCCGGGGGCAGGTGAGGCGGGGGCCAGGAGGTCCGGGGCATGGAGGCAGGGGTGCTCCCAAAGAGGCGGAGGCGGCATGCAGCCCTCGTAGCGAATATTTCTACAAACTGAAGGTGTGAGGGTCGGGTGTGAAAGAGCACCCCCATCCCCCCAGGCCCCAGTTGTCCTGAAGGGGGAAGCTGCAAATGGGACCCTTAGGTTGGGTCCGGGTGATTGCACACAAAGTGTACCAGGTGACACCTCCGAGGCGTGTTTTACGAGCTGGCAGTCATACCACTTGCGCGCCCGCTTTTATTTCTCGCAGCGTGTGTTTCTCTTGAGCCCGTTCATTGCTTACAGTCCGAATTGCGAAATGTAAACCGACATAATGTATGTTTTTAATGCTTTCCATGGATTTTGCTGTTGTGCTTTTGCTGTCGGACGAGTTCTCGTGAAAGATAATGATAGCGTCGCTCGGTGGCATACAGAACCTAAATTTAGAATCAAATATTCGTTTTGTGGTTTATCTTTCTTTTTCTGAATGTTAAAAAAATAGTTTTATTAACAGGTTATCGTGGCATGGGTTTCTTTAGCCCGCACTTGTAAATCCAAAAACGTACTGGACGATGAAATTATGTAAACTGTATTAATGAAAGATATTAATCCTTTGATAAATTTAAAATAAATGAACATAATTACTGTGTATGAAGTTATATAGCTTACGTCATGGATTTCATGCTTGTGCCTTTCTTCAGGCACCTCTGTCCTGTCTGTGGGATAATGAGGGAATATGCCAAGTGTTCAGCAAAGCGTTCTCAGCCATAAAATGTATTGAATGTTTCAGAGAACACCTTAAATGAAGGTTTTTGTATCTAATAATAAAACAATAGGACTGAAGCCCTTAAAGGACAGTCAGTCTGAGGTCTAGAGTTGAAGTTCCATTTGTCTTTGGCAGGATGAAGAAGATGATTAGTAATTTTAGCCACCACCTTTTTTATTGTTAAAGATTCAAATATGTTAAGTGATAATCTCAGAGCATTAAGGTGTTGGATTCAAATTTTTGCAAATGTGGACACCGAAAAAAATGAGTCACTTTGTTTTTTGCCTTAGGAAGTCAGTCAATCCAGAGGGCCCTTGGCTGTCCAGTCTGTGACTGCCTCCTCGTTGAAGAACATGGAGATCATTAGTTTTGCTTTGGTCTGGAGTCTTCACTTGTACTGTGCAGTTAAACTTCATTAGTTTGGAAACCCTAATTAAAATGTATGACTACATTCTTACTGAGTAAAATGCTCTTACATTTCTCCTGCAGAATTGCAGGTCTTATTTGTTAGTAGAATTGATAAGTATCTTCTTCAGAGCTTAGTAGCTTCCTGGATCTAATTTTTAATATTTGGTATATTTTTCACATATTACTAATAGTATATCTGTAGTCTACTTTGATTTTAGAAGTCATTCACTTTTACTGTATTTATACGGAATTTTATCATGGGCTTTCTTTGTATTTAATAAAACTATTTTAAAATATCCTTTATGATTCCTTCTCTACTTCCCCGTAATAATTAATTGGACATTTACTCTAATAACCTGTATACTTTTAGGTCTTTCACTAGGAAAAAACCCTTCCTGAAGTAGGGTGCGGCTAAATATGTGGCAACAGAAAGTTATACACATTTTTATATAATGTCACACCAGGATTATAATTCTACATTATATAATTCACTGAGTTAGCACATCTATTTTTATAATCAGAACTCATTATTGGGTGCTTATTGGTATAAGACAATATATTAGGCACTTTTAAGAATTTAGTTCAAATTGTAGGATTTTGCCACAAAGATTTTAAAGTCTAAACCATCAATGTGAACGTGTTTGATGTTAACTTGTCTTAACTATAGAAAGTGAGTCACTTTGGTTGTAGAAAATAGTGATAACTTTTGAGAATATCTTTGGAGTTCTTTGTTTTCAGATAGTAAGAGGAAGCAAGGAAGTAGAGGGGTTCAGTGCTTCTAGAATATTATGCCGCAGTGAGAGCTGCTGGCCAAGGAGGGTTAAAAGGCATGCTTCGGTGTATGTGGGTGTGGGTGGGTGTGTGTGTGTGTGTGTGTGTGTGTGTGTGTGTGTGTGTGGTGGGGGAGGGGTGCTTAGCCAGAGGTTACAGGAAGTGAGAAATTTGTTTAAAGTCTTAGGTTTAAACTTAGAAATTTCCTATTAATTTTGCAGCTTATTTCATAATAGATCCATATTCGTTATAGAAGAGAACATTTTTGAAATTCACACACTGTTGGATAACGTTAATACCTCAGGAAGGTTCTCTAGACAGGGAGTGGCCCTAGCACTTCTCTTCGTACTTACAAGGTGCAGGTGGCCCAGTTTGAGAGGCAAAGGGCGGTAGGTAAGATTAGTGTTCCCTCTCTGGGTTAACAGTGCCTGTCTCATTACACCTGAAACTAATGTAACATTGTGTGTCAATTATACTTCAATTTAAAAAAGGCCTGCCTCTTAGGGTTTTGTTGAAGATTTAAAGCATATAATGAAGCATAGGAAACACTCAGTACCTTGTTGCTTCTGTCATTGTTACCATTAATACTATGCCCTAGAGTAGCAGAGATTTCTAGTTACTATGTTCAGTTTTACAAAGTAGCTGAGATGGTGGTTTCTGAATTGCCTACAAATGGCTACTTTAATCAGACATACTTTGTAGCTGAGGGAATTGTCCCTTGGGCTTGTTAGGCATTTTTGGAGGTGCATTAACTCACCCCAGTAGAGCGTGTCTTAGTATGTTGCCATGTGCATCTTACGGTCCCTTTGAGGCCACTGGGAATCAGTGGACATCTTGGAGTGACTGACATGCCCCCAGGGAATGAGACTGGCTTTGCAGAGTGCAGACCAAACCCTTGGCTGGCTGCAGGTTTTTGTTTCTTTTTTTTGATTTGTTTGCTTTTATTTTTGAACACAGTTAACATTTATGGAGAACCTATTAAGTGCTAGGTGACTATACTTAAGTACATATAAGGACTTGATTGAATTCAAATTTCTCAACAGCTCTGCTAGCTGGGTGGTGATCTCCAGATTTTCTGAGTGTTCTGGTTGGGTTGCTGCATTTTCTACATCCTTTCGTATTCCCAGTTGACACCTTGGGAGCCGGTTAATCACTGGAACAACTACATTTCTTTTATGATAATGATAAATGGCAATAATAACTGTGACCTTTCTATTTAACATTATTTGTGTCCTAGAAGTGGAGCCAGGACAGGTGGTTTGCTCAATTTTATGGATGAAAAAGCAAGGCCTAGATCAGTGGCACATCTGAGGTCCTATATAGAATGATGTTGCCGGATCTAGAGCCCAGGTTTTTTGATGCTTGCATGTTGTAGTTTTGTCAGTTTTTCTTAAAAATTTTCAAAACATTAACCATTATTTTGCAGTAGGAAAACTGAGGAGTGTGACGATTATATTACTTAGGAACTGTTGTGTGATCCTCAGAGTTATCAGCTTGGAATCTGTGGCTTACTATTTGTTTAACAAGCCCTGCAACTTCTCCCTTTAAATAATGAACCATAACTTTCTTTTTGCAAACAAAACAGAATCAATGAGGAGGGAATATAGTTTGAAGCTCTTTTTCTGGAGGAGAAACACCATATGATTCTAGAATATAATAAATGAATTGTTTAGATGCGGGGATAATCTTTGTAGATGGAGGTTAGCCCAGCCAAAAGTATGTTCATAATGGTGAATGATAAATGAAGAAAATAATATTTTGCATTACTGAACAAGTTTTTCTTTCTCTTTTTTCCCTGAATAGGAAGAAAGAAGCCTGAGACAGCAGCCTATGAAGACTGTGAAGACAATCCTGAATAGCAATTATGAATGGTGTTGCTGCTAGGCTTGTTCTGCAGAGCATCTGAAATGAACCTCTCTTATTGATTGTTTTTATTGGCCCAGAGCCAGGAGTACTGGATTCAGTTGACTTCAGGATTAAAAAGAGAACAGTCCTGGTTATCATCATAAACATATGAACCAGTGTGATGGTGAAATGAGATGAGGCTCCGAAATGGAACTGTAGCTACTGTTTTAGCATTTATCACTTCGTTCCTGACTTTATCTTGGTATACTACATGGCAAAATGGGAAAGGTAAGGCAAATATCTCCAAAAATGTGCATGAAATGTAGTAGTAAAGGGTGCATAAATGCTTTGGTTAAGTACCCCAATGGTCTGCATGTTGCATGCTCTCTGCTGGTGGCCTGCTAGTTTCTTTCTGATACAAAAATGTATTCTTGGACAGAGGAGACAGAATTTCTAATTTGAATGGGGTTTGTTTTCAATTTCTTATAATTGCACTTGGAGAAATACATACTGATCAGTGGTTATATTATACATGGCAGCCAAGTTGAATAATAAAGACTTTTGTTTTGGCATTTTATTTTTATTAAACATCATAAATATTTAATAAGCTTCCTTGTACTGGATGTTGTTTAAAGTGCTTAAAAGGACACAATCAGCGCCTTCATGAAATTTACATGCTGATTATAGTAATGATTTGGTGCTGTGTAGTTAATGATTTAAACTACATGTGGTGACAGATTGCTCTTCGGGCAAGAGTATTTATGAAGTGGGTGAGGATAAATTCTTAAAAATTGGAAACAAATTTTAAGTTTATTGTGTTTTACTGTTGAATTATGTCTTTAAGGAAGGTTATTTGTTAAGTGATATTCAGGGATAATGCCTTTGCTTTTTTTTTTTTAACGTTATTTATTTATTTGAGAGAGAGCACACATGCATGCACAGGGGGAAGGGCAGAGGGAGAGGGAGAGAGAGAAAATCTTAAGCAGGCTCCATGCCTAGCACAGAGCCCGGCTCCAGGCTCAATCTCACAGCCCTGAGCTCATGACCTGAGCCAAAATCAAGAGTTGGATGCTCAGCCTACTGAGCCAAGCAGGTGCCCTCATTCCTTATGTTAATCTAGGGAATGTTGATGGCAAAGAAGGATGGAAGTACATACTTGGTTTTTTAGAATCAAGTTAGAGTAGTCATCATCACCAGGTTATCTGAGGGTCCTATTGCTGGCGTTATTTTATTAACTTACATGAAGATAACTGAAAAGGTGCATTCCTTATTAAATTTGCCTCTGGCATGTATATAGATATGTATATGTAGATGTGTATATATCTGTGAGTACATATGTATAAAATAAGCTGATTAAAGTGGAAAGCATATGATCTATTCTTTAAGCAAGTATATTATCTCCCCCCCGCCTTTTTTTTTTCCGAGTTGGGCTGTAATTTTGAGGGGAGCTATACCAGGGAGAAATGAATGAAAAACTTGGTGAAGACCCTTATTCTTTGTGGACAAATATATACATTTTAGATTCCGTTTTTTAATTGTACCAAAAGGAGAAGACATACTTAGGAAGACCTTTGACCAGTTAATTTAATCAAACTATTTGATTGTGCCAGACATGACCAAAACAGATGACTGGCCTTAAAAGTTTACTTAAGAAATAAGAGAATTGACCATAAGGGGAATATATGGATTTTTTTTCTTATCAGGAAACTTATCTATTCAGAGTTATAGTCATGGAGAAATGTGATCCTTCTCACTGAGTCTTATGTAAGGGATTAAAATTTTTGTAATCTCCATTCCACTTGTTTCTTGTGTAAAGGCATTGTAAGCATTATTTTCTTTTTGTATTAAGCTGTCTTTAGGGGCGCCTGGGTGGCTCAGTCAGCTAAGCATCTGCCTTGGGCTCAGGTCATGATCCCAGGGTCCTGGGATTGAGCCCCATGTCACTCTGCTCAGCGGGGAGCCTGCTTCTCCCTGTCCCTCTCCCTCTGCCTCCTACTCCCCCTGCTTGTGCGCTCTCTGTCAAATAAATAAATAAATAAATAAATAAATAAATAAAATCTTAAAAAAAAAAGTTGTCTTTAGAATCAAGGTTAAAAACATATAAATATTCTTTCATCCTGTGGTATTAGATACACACAAAGTCCGTTCTCTTTGATTATCATTCTTTGACCACCTCTGTAATCCTTTCCTGCATATTCTTCTGCTCTCTCTTCTTAGTGTTTTGTCCAGACTTTTTCAGGTATCAACAGAGGACTCCTGTTATGGTTATGTAAGATCCTCTGTCTTTTTTATTTTATTTGTTTAAGATTTTATTTGTTTATTTGAGAGAGAGAAGGAGAAGCAGGCTCTCTGTTGAGCAGGGAGCCCATCGTGGGGCTCAATCCTCGGACCCCTGGGATCCTCACCTGAGCCAAAGGCAGATTCTTAAATGGACTGAGCTACCCAGGCACCCCAGTCCTCTGTGTTTTAATGCTATCATGTATGTAACTGATCTAACTGCTGAGCATTTGGATTCTTTCTAGATCATTCTGGCAGTCAGATAGCCTGGATTTTCCAGAGCAGTCCTGATCTCAGATACTCAGTTCTAGTATACTCATCAACCATGTGCTCTGATTTTTATATTGAAAGTATGGTTTCCATAATCATTGACTTTGCTGGGCTAGTAGTTTTTATTTTTCATTCACTCATTGGTCCCTTTTATAGGTACCTGTCCTGCCTAGCACTGCATTAAATACTATGAATATGAAAGAAATAGGAAACTTAACACCTCTTGAGAAGCTCAGGGACTAGGAGGGGAAGATTCAGGTAAACAAAACAAATATGATACCATCAATAGACTGAGATAGAAGCAATAACATGGTGCTGGGGAAGCATATTGCATGTTATATATGATTTGGTTTAATCCTTATAACAACCCTGGGAAGAATTACTACCCCCTTTCACTAGATGAGAAAGTTGAGGCAGAGTGTTTGAGAAATTTGCCAAGGTCATACATACATTTAAGTGGTAAAGTGAAGTTTGAACTCTGTCATGCTGGTTCCAGAGATTATGTTCTTAGCTATTGGTCTGCTTCCCAGAAGAGCAGAGACTGAGGCTACTAATTCTTGAGTCACTTCAAGAAGAATAAATAGGAAGGTGATGCCAGGCAGAGTAGTAGACAGTGGGCATGTCAGGGAGAAAGAGCTCCTTGTGCAGCCACAAAGTTCTGAAAGGGTGTAGAGTATTTGTGCCTTGGAATTAGGAGACACTCAGTTTCATGGGCACATAGGACTCCTAGACTCTCAAGGTTTAGTTGGTAATCATTGTGTAGTTCTTAACATATTTTTCATAGGTCTTCATTTAACACTTGGAAGAAAACATGAGCTGGTTCATGGGTTTGGCATAAGTTTGGGAGGATGTTAGAAACACAGCCAGGGAAGATGGAGTTAGGGCTAGGACACCAGTTTTAGCAGGGTATGCAGAATTAAATGAGGCAGAATTCCAATTATGTGGAATGGACAGGTTGGGAAAGTTGTAAGCAGATGTTGTGAGTGGGACCAGAGTTATTACATATCTCACTTGTAGCTGGGGTTCTCCTAAAGAACTTCCTACTTTGGTCAGGCACAATCCAGAAATTGGGGAAGACGGAGCAAGCAATCTGTCCATAGGGACATAGAACATTCATGTACATGTTTCTGTGTGGATTTCTGTGTGGAATAGGTTTTCATTTCTCTTGAGTGGAATTGCTGGATCATGTAGTAACTCTATATTTAATCATTTGAAGAGCTGCCAGACTGTTTTCGTAGCAGCTGGACCATTATGCATTCCTTCTAGTAGCATATGAGGGTTCCGATGTCTTCACATGCTTTGACGACACTTATTATCTGGCTTTCGATTCTCATTCTAGTGGTAGGGAGATAGTGTTTTATTGTGATTTTGATTGGCATTTCTCTGATGACTAATGATGTCTGGCATCTTTTTATATACTTTTAGCAATTTGCACATATTCTTTGGAAAATTGTCTATTCAGATCCTTCGCTTATTTTTAAAAAGGGGTTATTTGTCTTTTTATTAAGTTATAAGAGTTCTTTATATATTCTAGATATGGTTTCCTTAGCAGATACATGATTTGCAAATATTTTCTCCCATTCTGTGGGTTGTCTTTCACAGTCTTGATGGTGCCCTGTGAAGCACAAGAGTTTTAAATTTTGATGAAGTTGTGTCCATTTTTGTTGTTGCTTGTGCTTTTGGCTTCATGTCTAAGAGTTCATTGTCACATCTGAGATAATGAAAATTCTGCTATGTTTGCCTCTAAGAATCTTGGCCTTTGATCCATTTTAGGTCAGTTTTTGTGTGTGGCATGAAGTAAAGGTCCAACTTGATTCTTTTGCATCTGGCTATCCAGTTGTCCTAGCACAATTTGTTTAAAAGACTGTTTTTCCCCCCATTGAATGGTCTTGGCACTGTTGTTGAAAATCAGTTGATCATAAATGTATGGATTGGTTTCTGGACTCTCAATTCCATTCCATTGATATTCCTTCTGCTAGTGCCAGGCTATCTTGATTATTGTTGCTTTGTAGTAAGTTCTGAATTGGGAAGCGTAAGTTCTGCTGCTTTAACTTTTTCAGGATTGTTTGGCTATTTTGGGTCCCTTGCAGTTCCATGTGAATGTTAGCATCTGCTTGTCAGTTTGTATAATGAAGTCAACAGGGATTATGATAATCTATAGATCAGATTTGGTACCATTACCATCTTAACAGTGTTAGGTCTTCCAATCCATAAAACACAGGATTTCATTTATTTAGGTCTTTAATTTTTTTCAACAATTTTTGTGTACATTTACACAGTATAAGTTTTATGCTTCTTTTATTAAATTTATACCTAAGTATTTTATACTTTCTGATAGCATTTTTGAATGGAGTTATTGTCTTAATTTTATCAATTTTCATCACAAGTGTATAGAAACACAATTGATTTCTGTATACTGATCTTGTATCCTGCAACCTCGCTGAGCTTATTTATTCTAATAGTGGATTCCTTAGGATTTTCTGTGTACCAGATCATGCCATCTGTGAATAGAAATAATTTCATTTCTTCCTTTCTAGTCTCAATGACTTTTATTTCTTTGTGTTATTTAATTTTTCTGGCTAGAACCTTCATTTCAGTGTTAAATGGAAGTGATGTAAGAGCTGACCTCCTTGTCTTGATCTTAAGAGGAAAGAAGCCAGTCTTTAAATTTAAGTGGGTGTTAGCTGTGGTTTTTAAGTAGATGCCTTTTTTTTTTTTCCAGGTGAAGGAATTTGCCTTCT